TTGGATGCAATGTTAGGATTGGAACGATAACTTTAAAAATGGGCACCCAGCATCCACAATCACAGTTTCCTGATATTTACATTCAGGTGTTTGTCAATCCTACAAATGGGTCATAAAAAGATCCCCTTCCTTCTTTGAAGGTTCACTCAGTCAAGTACCGGTACCTACCTGTCCACAAAATGCTTTATATATCACAGTGCTTCATTCAAGTAATTTTGCCATTTGTCTACCTCATCTTTAGTGCATACCTTTATCTGTCACTTTAAAATAGATATGACTTGTGGGCAAAAGGTTCTGTGGTGTTTCTTTTGTTTTTCTTTCTTTATAATCCTTCAGATGGTCAGGAGGGGAAGAAGAATGGCAGTCCTACAATTCCATCATTCAAAGAAGAAAAGCAATAAAACAAACACCCTCAAATAAAAAGATTTTTTTCCTCTTGGTTCAGTTTTCTTGATGAGCTAACTATCTGTCCTGTTTGCAGAGCTTTGTTTTTTACTGCTGGCTGTTTCCCAATTGTAATGGATTATAGAGCAGCAGGTGCCCACCAGGGAGAAAGGGATAATGTATGCAGCTACATGTAATTTCCCATTCTCTGAAGTGGACACATGATACTCCATGAGGCCCCATTCAAAATATCACCTAATTCACATTAGATTCTAGATAATGGGAAATTGCTCAACCCTTCACCAAACATTTCAGTTCAGAGATATGGAAAAATCTTGGCATTCCCTCATATTGTGGTCTTGTTTTGCCACAAATCTTCATTTCTGTTTTCTGGCTAATAAGTAAAGATGTAGATAAAAGATAAGATATCCTGCCTGGAGATATCTAATCATTCATAATGCTTATTAATCATAATTTATAGTTGGTCTTCCCAGCTTGGGCAGTTTGCCAGAGAGACAGAAGCAATCTATTCTCTGAACAGCTCTCCTTGCTGGCACTACAATAATAAAAAGCAACCTCTGTGCTTAGTACAGAAATATAATAATCAAGGTGAATGGATCATAGAGCATCAGGTATCCACTTCAGAAAGGGAAAAGTTATGAGTAGGTTTGAGTATTATAAGTATGAATACATTTTACTCTTTTTTGGGGGGAGGGGGAAGAAAGAGGGTGGGGACAAAGATTTTTAAAGGAAAGCTAAAAC